ATTTAATTTAATTTAATAATTTAATTTATATACCGCCCTTCTCCCGTAGGACTCAGGGCGGTGCACAGCATATTAAAACAGACAAACAAAATACATCAAAGAACAAAAAACCCCCATAAAACCAAATTAAAAGCCAAATATTCGAAGCTGTGTGTCAATTAAAATTTTCTTAAAATCATCCCTACCTAAAATCCTCCCTTCTCCTCTTCCTCCTCCTCCTCCTCCTCCTTCTCCTCCTCCTCCTCCTCCTCCTCCTCCTTCTCCTCTTCCTCCTCCTCATCCTTCTCTTCCTCCTCCTCCTCTCCCCTCCTATTCAAGTAGTCTTCAACTTACAACAATTCATTTAGTGACCGTTCAAAGTTACTACTACACTGGAAAAAATGACACTTATGACCAGTTTTCACACTGACGACGTGATCCCCACAATCACATGATCAACATTCAGATGCTTGGCCACTGACTCATAGTTATGACCGTTGCAGTGTCCCGGGGTCACGGGATCCCCCTTTGGCGACTTTCTGACGAGCAAAGCCAATGGGAAAGCCAGATTCATTTAACTGTGTTAGTGATTTAACAACTGCAGTGATTCCTTTAACAACAGTGGCAAGAAAGGTCGTGAAATGGGGCCAAACTCACTTAACAACTGCCTCACTTAGCATCAGAAATTTTGGGCTCGATTGCGGTCGTAAGTTGAGGACTAGCTCTATATGATGCCACAGAGGTTGGTGTGCTTCCCACACCTGTAGTTCTAGGTCTGTACCACCTCTGGTGCTAGATGGGGTGGCACTGTTCCAAACAGACCCTGCATGCAATTTAGGGATTTTACTGGACTCATGACTCCTATTTCAAGGAATAGGCAGCAGTTGTGCCTGGGGGGAGGGGCTTTAGACCAGGGGTCCCCAACCCTCGGTCCATGGACCGGTACCAGGCCGCAGCATGCCAGCAACCGGTCCGCACAAACAAGCAAAGCCCCATCCGCGGGATGCAGGCAGCACACAAAACCACGCACTCTCTGGTCCGTTGGAAAACCTCTCTCCACAGAACCGGTCCCTGGTGCCCAAAAGGTTGGGGACCTCTGCTTTAGACAACTTCATATTGTGTACCCATTACACACTGCCTTTGAAGACTACCTGGAAACATCAGCTGGCCAAATACAGTGGTACAAGCCGTTACGTATTTTCCGGGTACAGCACACGTTATACGTCTACTACACAAGCTGCGTTGGTTACCAGTTTGTTTCTGGGTCTAATTCAATATGCTGGCGTCGTTCTAAAGAGCCTGAATTGGCATGGGACAAGGTTCTTTCAGGAACCTCCTCTTCCCAGTTTCATCTGCCTATCCCACTAGATCTAAGACAGGGGTGTTAAATTGCCGACCCACGGGCCGGATGCGTCATGCCAAAACTGTGCCTACCCCCATTGCCGGCAATGGAAAAAAAGTCACGATATGTGGCGACACGTCACGTGACATTGCGAGTTTGACACCCTGATCTAAGAGAATGGGCATGTTCTGGGTCTTGTCATCTAGGACAGGGGTCCCCAACCCCCGGGCTGTGGCCCATTAATGGGCCGCAGTCTGTTTGAAACCGGGCCCTGCAGTCGATGGGCAAGTGCTCGCGCACAAAGCTCCATTTGCGCGAATGGAGCCTCTCACGTGAGCACTTTCCATGCAGGAGTGGAGCTTCGTGCGTAAGCACAAGCGCCCACCACTTGTGCGAGTGGAGCTTCCCGCGCTTGCTTGCCGCTTGCGCGACTGGCACTTCACACACACGTGCTTGCCCACTGCTCGTCCAAGTGGCGTTTTATAGGCATACGCTCAGCCGTCGCTCGCGTGAGTGGAGTTTTACACGCACGAGTATGCACGCCTCTCGTGCGCGTGGAGCTTCACCTGCGCGTGGTTGGTTGCCACTCACACGAGCGGAGCTTCGCACACTCTTGCTCATCCCTTGCGCGGTCCGGTTTCAAATAAGCCACTGCCTGGTAGTTGCAGGCCTTTTCTACTGTGTGCCCCCCACTGTGAAATCTTCTCCTCCTACCCCGGGTGAAGTTGTTCTCATCGCTTCTGAAGGTCCATCAAGACCTGATTATGCATTGTTTGGATGATGATGATGATGATGATGATGATAATGATGATGATGATGATGATGATGATGATGATAATGATGATGAAGTTGGAAGGGACCTTGTAGGTCATCTAGTCCAACCCCCTGCTCAGGCAGGAAACCCTATACCATTTCGAACAAATGGCTGTCCAGTCTCTTCTTAAAGATTTCCAGTGTTGGAGTATTCACAGCTTCTGGAGGCAGGTTGTTCCACTGGTTAATTGTTCTCACTGTCAGGAAGTTTCTGCTTAGTTCTAGGTTGCTTCTCCCCTTGATTAGTTTCCATCCGTTGCTTCTTGTCCTGCCTTCAGGCGCTTTGGAGAATAGCTTGACTCCCTCTTCTTTGGGGCAGCCCCTGAGATATTGGAACACTGCTGTCATGTCCCCCCTCGTCCTTCTCTTTGTTAAACTAGACATACCCAATTCCAGCAACCGTTCCTTATATGTTTTAGCCTCTAGTCCCCTGATCAACTTTGTTGCTCTTCTCCACCTTCCAGGTGGAAATTGTGACTCATACTGGACCTCACCGGCGCCTCTGGATGGGCCCACAGTTCCAGTTCAAGACTATCCATCCTTCCGGCCAAACCACTGTGATTTCCTCCAGTTCTTCCGTGCTTCAGTCCCACGGCCCCAGCGACACGCCGCAGCCTCTCCTGGACTTTGACACCGATGATTTGGATCTGGACAGTCTCAGGTTAATTTTCTTCTTTTTTTTTTTTCAAAAAGAAAAAAAGCAAGCACTCGTTCTTTGTTTCTCGTTCCCCCTAGTGTTATGCAGGTAGTCCTCGACTGACAGCCATTCGCTTAGTGACGGTTCGAACTTAACAACGGCACTGAAAAATGTGACTTATTTTTCAGTCTGAACACAACGGGCGTCTCAAACCATCCAGCTGTTCTGTAGAACAGAAAGGTCCTAGAGCAGGGGTCTTCCAACTTGGCCCTTTTATGACTTGTGGACTTCAACTCTCAGAATTCCTCAGCCAGCATGCCTGGCTGAGGAATTCTGGGAGCTGAAGTCCACAAGTCATAAAAGGGCCAAGTTGGAAGACCCCTGCTTGTGGACTTCAACTCCCAGAATTCCTCAGCCAGGCACGCTGGCTGAGGAATTCTGGGAGCTGAAGTCCACAAGTCATAAAAGGGCCAAGTTGGAAGACCCCTGCTTGTGGACTTCAACTCCCAGAATTCCTCAGCCAGGCACGCTGGCTGAGGAATTCTGGGAGCTGAAGTCCACCAGTCATAAAAGGACCAAGTTGGAAGACCCCTGTCCTAGAGAGTGTAAACATCCTGCCAGTCCAGAATTACATACGGATACTCCTCGACTTACAACAGTTCGTTTACTGACCGTTCAAACTTCCAACAGCTGAAAAATGTGACTTAACGACCGTTTTTCACACTTACGACCGTTGCAGCATCCCCATAGCCATGCGATCAAAATTCAGACGGTTGGCCACTGGCTCCTACTTACGACGGTCGCAGCATCCCAGGCTCACGCCAAGCCAGATTCACTTAACAACCCTGTTACCGACTTAACAATTGCAGCGATCCACTTAACAACGGTGGCAAGAAAGGTCATAAAATGGGGCAAAATTCACTTAATGTCTCACTTTGCAGCAGAAATTTTGGGCTCGATCATGGTTGTCAGTCGAGGACCACCTGTGCTGTAGCTCAGTTATTGCATTCTGAATCTGGGCCCAGATCGTTGTGGTGCCTTCAGTTTTTGTGCTGTAGGCCCTTGTGGCGCTCTTTTCAACAAACTGATCCTTCCAACTGACGTGTGCTTTGTATTTTTAGAATCCAGCCTGTACGTTCTGAGCCTGTTAGCATGCCAGGATCGTCATGCCCGACTACTGATCTGCGGGGAAGATCTTCAGCAACTGATACTACCTCAGGTAGGAAAATGGGTCTATCAAACCATTTTTTTTTTTAATGTGTTCACGGTTAAGCGCGCACGGATTTTCCCATTGGCAAAATGTTTGTGAGTGTGTCAACAAAACTGAAGATATTTTGTGGATGGATAAAATAGACTATTTGGTTCCGTCGTGGCTAAAGGCATGTGAGTACTGCTTGGGGAGATTCGAAGTTGAGACCGTCCCGTCTGTTGTTGAGGTATGGTGGAAGGAATGATGGTGTCTTTGTGGCCAACGGACAATATCTAATTGGTGATGGTATTCAGATTCAGATTAAGATCTATTGAGGACACCCGAACATGGCAGAAACATTGTACTTACTGGTCAAGACTTATATCAGCATGAAGTGTAGCCTGTTCTGAAGTTTGGAACTGCAAGGGACAACTTTATGTGGGACTGTTGACCTCACTGAGTGAAGGGATGGTGTCGTTTTAAGCTGATCTCCTCCAAAGACTTGTTTCATTCCGAGTGGATGTAAGATATTGGTTGTGGACTGGTTAAGGGGAGAACAGTGGTGGGATTCAGAGGGTTCGCAACACTTCGGCAGAACCGATAGCTAATTTTTTGTTGCCCGGGCCCAGAATGGACTTCTGGAAGCGGCATCCACGCAGAGAACCGGTTGTTCACCTATTTGAATCCCACCACTGGAGGAGAACCCTTAAGCCCCATGTGACAGAAGGGAAAAGACTTGACTCGTTGCGATTAGTCTTCAATACGCAAGTGATCCTCTAAAGCAGGGGTAGTCAACCTTGGCTCTTTTATGACTCGTGGACTTCAACTCCCAGAATTCCTGAGCCAGCTAAGCTGGCTCAGGAATTCTGGGAATTGAAGTCCACGAGTCATAAAAGAGCCAAGGTTGACTACCCCTGCTCTAAAGCATTGTGAGATGTTGAAAAACGATGAGCGTTTATTTTCAAGAGTAGAGTGGATCAGAACTCAAGACTCTGAATGAAACCTGGAATGGTTCCATAGGTCCTGTTTTGGCATAAACAACAAAACAATCATTTGAGTGAAAACCCTTTGACCTGGTTGCCTATTTGATTGCTGTTCAATCGTTAAGTTGGGTCCGCCTATTTGCAACCTCATGGACCATATAAGATAAGATAACCTTTATTGTCATTTTTTTTGCTGCTGGCACACTGGCACACATTAAAAAAATGAAATTCTGTTGCCTGCTCTCCAAAAGTGTACACATACACAACACGCATATAAACAGGCTACATACAACATATACATATGCCTACATCCTTACATATAAATACATACGAGAGCAATTCGGAAATAAACCTCCGTTTGGTTATCAAGGACAGACACTCGCAGATACAGAACTTTTATTATACACCTTAAAACAGAAGTCCCCAACCTTTTGGGCACCAGGGACCAGTTCCGTGGAGAGAGGTTTTTCCACGGCCCGGAGAGTGTGTGGTTTTGTGTGCTGCCTGCATCCCACGGATGGGGCTTTGCTTGTTTGTGCAGACCTGTTGCTGGCATGCTGCGGCCCGGTACCGGTCCACAGACCGGGGGTTGGGGACCCCTGCCTTAGAAAACTACATTACATTACTTTTCGACATAACCGACACCACATCGGAAGTGGTGCCGTGGAAAATCCCGCCAAATGTGAATATGACAAAGGAGTATTGCTAGTGAAGTTCATGGAGCGATCAATTCAGACGTCGACTGTGAAACGTTACGAAAACTCAGACCAGCCATCCATAACAAGCATTGGGGCCTGCTGACTTCCGGTGTGGTGTCGGTTCACGACAATGCTCGCCCGCACACTGCTAGACATACCCAAGAACTTGTGAAGCAGTTCCGTCGGGATCTTTTTGATCACACCCCCCCCAATAGCCCAGATTTGGCGCCAAGCGACTACGACTAAGGAATTTCAAACCTTGTGTGACGTTATGACAAGGGCCTCAGTTTGAAAGGCGATTATGTCGAAAAGTAATGTAATGTTGTAGTCTTCTAAGGCAGTGGTGGCGAACCTATGGCATGGGTGCCAGAGGCGGCACTCAGAGCCCTCTCTGTGGGCACACATGCCATTGCCCCAGCTTTGCCTCCGCCCACGCCCCCCTCCTCACCAGCAGCCCCCCTGGAGGAGAGTCGCCCCCGAGCGTGGCCCACGCAGAGCAGCGCAGTCAAGGACATGGCAGCCAGGCAGCGTAGACAAGACTCTGTCCTCACGCCCCAACACGCACAGTTGATGCTGCAGGGCGTGGGCAGAGGACGTGGCCGCCGTGACACTGCTGGGCTGCCTGGGCAATCTGCGGCGGGCCCTGGAGGCGGTGAGTGGCCCTGCGGGCAGGCAGGGTGGGACAGTGGGGGCGGGGCAGGGACGGGGCAGGGGGTGGAGCAGGGTTAGGGCCAGGTTTTGGGCACTCGGTCTCTAAAAGGTTCGCCATCACTGTTCTAAGGTGTATAATAAAAGTTCTGTCTCTGCGAGTGTCCGTCATGGATAACCAAACGGAGGTTTATTTCCAAACCGCCCTCGTATAAATTTGAATCACTGTCCATCTTGAATACGTAGCGGAAAGAGGAAGCTTGAGAGTTCACAAGGTTGATACCGTATGGAGCAAAACTGTGGCTGAATCTGGAAGTTCTGCTGTTCTTCTGATATCATACCAGGCCCTCCTGTCCTCTACCGTCTCCCGGTGTTTTGCCCAAAATCACGTTTGTTGCGTTGACGACACCCATCTAACCTTCTCCTCCTCCACCGTCCCCTTCTCCTTTCGTCTTCCCTCTTTCCCAACATCAGCATCTTTCCCAAAGAATCTTCTCTCTTCTCCTGAGGTGGCCAAAGTATTTGAGCTTCAACACCAGGATCTTTCCTCCAAAGACAGTTGCCTGCTTAATCGGATTTAATTCAGATTAACAAGCCAGTTGTTTTGTTTCCGCCAACAGTTGCACAAAATGGTATTTTATTCAGGAATTATTATTTTTTTAAAAGCGATATACAGGTAGTCCTCCACTTACAACAGTTCATTTAGAGAAGCAACCTAGAACTAAGGAGAAACTTCCTGACAGTTAGAACAATTAACCAGTGGAACAACCTGCCTCCAGAAGTGGTGAATGCTCCAACACTGGAGGTTTTTAAGAAGAGACTGGACAGCCGTTTGTCTGAAATGTATAGGGTTTCCTGCCTGAGCAGGGGGTTGGACTCGATGACCTCCAAGGTCCCTTCCAACTTTATTATTATTATTATTATTATTATTATTATTATTATTATTATTATTATTATTATTATTATTATTATTATTATTATTATTATTATTATCTCTGAAAAAAAGTGACTTATGACCAGTTTTCACACTTATCTCTGAAAAGAAGTGACATGACCAGTTTTCACACTTACGACCGTTGGCAGCATCCCCGTGGTCAGGTGATCAAAATTCAGACGCTTGGCAAGTGACTCCTATTTGCGACGGTCGCAGCATCTCGGGGGGTGTGTGTCACGTGATCCCCTTTTGCGACATTCTGACCAGCCAACTCAGTGGGATAAGCCTGTTTCACTTAACAACCGTGTTACAAATTTACCAACTGCCGGGATTCACTTAAGAACTGTGGCAAGAAAAAAGCCATCAAACAGAGCGAACCTCACTTCACAAATGTTTCACTTAGCAACAGAAATTTTGGGCTCGGCTGCGGTTGTAAGTCGAGGACCGCCCTGTTTTTCTAAACCGGAAAGTTGACTTGCTCTCTTTTTAGAAATGTCGCGTCTGTCCCTGCGTTTCCGAAGGTGCTCCTGGTCAGTTCTTCAGCAAGGGCTCTTATCGCTGGGCGATCCTCACAAGTGTTGTTGGCATGGCGTTAGTTGAACATGACTTTGCAGGTTTTTTGGCGCTGACTCGGTATGAGAGATCAAGTCCCGATAGGCAGTTTCCGTAATGCCTGGCTGCAGCGTTCCCGCATTTATTCAAGGGCAAGTGCAGGGCAATTTGACTTTTAAAAATTCAGCTCTATCACTTCCAGAGGTTTGTTCAGGCTCGGATTTATCTTCTTCTTTTTTCCCCCCTCCTCCTCCTCCTAACAAAATTGCTCATAAGTGGAGTTATTAAACACACAACATTAGTAAAAACACTTGGGGCTGGAGGAGGGTTTTAATCTTCAGTGGTTCAGAAATCCCTGGAGCCTGGTGATTGAATTGAGGTTTAAACTGTCAGAGGAAACCGAACCACAGAAACAAAATTGATTTGTGCAAGTTGTCTAAACAGGGCCGAGAATGGGAAAGCAACTACCATATTCTCTCTCTCTCTTTCTCTCTCTCTCTCTCTCTTTCTTCCTATTTCTCTTTCTTTTTCTTTTTCTCTCTCTCTTTCTTCCTCTTTCTTTTTCCTTTTCTCTCTCTTTTTTCTTTCTCTCTCTCTCTCTCTTCCTTTCTCTCTCTTTTTCTTTTTCTTTCTCTCTTTCTCTCTTTCTCTCTATCTCTGTCTCTCTTTCTGTCTTTCTTCCTATCTCTCTCTCTTTCTTCCTTTCCCTTTCTCTTTCTCTTTGCCTTTGCCTTTTTCTCTCTCTTATTCTTTTTCTCTCTCACACACACACACTCTTTTTTTTCTTTCTCTCTCTCTCTTCCTTTCTTTTTTTCTTTCTTTTTTTCTCTTTCTTTCTTTCTCTCTTTCTCTCTATTTCTGTCTCTCTTTCTATCTTTCTTCCTATCTCTTTTTATCTCTTTTTCTTCCTTTCTTTCTCTTTCTCTCTTATTCTTTCCTCCCCTCTCTCTCTTTCTTCCTCTCTCTCTTCCTCTCTTTCTCTTTTTTTCTCTCTCTTTTTCTTTCTTTCTCTCTCTTTCTTCCTATCTCTTTCTTTTTCTTTTTCTTTCTTTTTCTCTACTTTCTCTCTCTCTCTCTCTGTCTCTCTCTCTTCCTATCTCTCTTTTCCTTTTCCTTTCTCTTTCTCTCTCTCTCTCTTATTCTTTTCCCCTCCCCCCTCCCTCCCTCCCCCCCCCCCTCTCTCTGTCTGTCTTTCTCTCCAATCTTTTCTTGAAA